GATTCTTCCGTTCAGATGGCCAGTAGGTTTCTCTCTCGACTGATTTCCCAAACAATTGAGACCTTAGGCGAGTGTTTGAACTTGAAGAGACTGAAATGCCCTTCAAGATTTTATTGAATTTAGTCATTTTTATTATTTTTAACGCCAATTCCAGTTACATTTGAGTGATTTAGGGGAGTTCGTACGAAAATAAACAAATTAGGGGTATTCTTTAAAATAGGCAAACGTTAGAAAATATTGCGCAAATTTCCTATAATGAAATATAACCTAGAGGGTGTTTGATAGTCATTTTTATGTAAAAATGTATTTTATAATAATAAATTGATATGAAATGTATGGTTTTAAAAATAAGAAAAAAAAATTTATTTACGTGTAATATTATTTTAATAAAGAATGTGTGATTGAAAAAAAAAAGTGCATTTTGAAAAAATAACTACGAAACGAGGCCAAGTATAACATTACAATGACATATAAAATTCCTAAACATGCCCCCCAGGGCACATTCAAGTTGGCGGAACAATCACATTGGGGGGCTCTGGAACCAAGCGTGGGGAGTTCGATTCCTGGTGGGAACCTTTGATCCAATAAAGGAGGAATTATTGGTGGATTAATCACCATGGAGGAGGCTTCCTTTGGGGAAAGAGTAAAAGCCATGTGGGAACCTGGGAACCAACAAGGGCACATCCTGCGATTTACCTCCCTGAGCAGCTGAGGGGTCAGAGGTTCAGGGACGAGGATATATAGTCTGGCGCAAACTGGAACACCTCGTTAAAAAAAAAAAAAAAAAAAAAATTCCTAAACATGCCTTTAAAGGCTTAAAAGTTGACTTTAGTTGGGAAAAATATGCACCGTCGATCAATTAATAGGGCCCACGGAATCTATAGCTAAAATCCAACTTTTGGCTCATCGGCGAGAGCGCGTTTCATCATGTTATTTGATTGAAAATTGGTCCCACATTTTTTAAATTTCTGGTAAGTAAAGCCGTTGATCCGCAATCGTACAACTCATGTTCAAACACGCAAAAAGCAATAAATTTCATATATTTTTTCTGAAAATATTCGTAACACAATAGTTGTCGTACTCAAAATAACGAAATAAAATATTAACTTTTTTCTAATAATTTTTGATCTGGTGCCCCTCAGTTTTAACTTAACTACACAACACTAAGACACAAGAAAGGTATGTAATTGGCTTTATTTTCTTGTTTTGATGTAAGCAACACCGATCATTTCAATTGTCAATATAACACTAGTCCATATTCATAACGTACATAGATAAAATAGATTAGGATGATACATCACCTCCAACAACTAAATTCTTAACCATTTAATCACGATAACAAGAGGAAATATGACCAACCAACCAAAGTAAGTAGAGTACCATCCAAAATAAGCTCGTCGTGATTTTATATTCAAACAATCATAAATGACTATAAGACGAGTCAATGCAAATGAAGTTTGATCGATGAAATTCAATAGGATAGCTAAGCTGACAAACTGATCATGACTTTACATATAAATTAAGGCTAATTCATGTAATAGACTCTTAAAATGTTATTTAAGGGGTAGAACATGAAAAACTGATCATCGCCTTAATGTACACCAATGACACTTCAAAAGAGCCATTGTAATAGACAACTTCGATCCGCTACCCAAAAATAGGTTCTACCAACAAATCATGGCTAATTAGCATAAAAACGTCCCTACATTTCAATTTTTTGTATTTTCACTCCCTATTTCTACATTTCATTATGTAAAACGTTTCATTTTCATCAAGTTTTATTTAATTTCTCAATAAAAATATATGAAATGATGAATATACCCTCCTATTTAAATAAAATAGAAAGAAAAATAAAGAACTAATTGCATCCATACTCCCAATTTTATATAAAAAAAAAAAAGTGCAAACGAGTCCCTAATAAATTATTTAAAAAAATAACTTTCTCCTCCTTTCCCTATTAGCTGAAAAAATACAAATCCAAACATCAGTGACTTGGCGACTCAATGGAGCCACCACCTTTAATCAACCCAAACTCCACCCTACCATCGCATAGACTTCCGGGCACCACCACCACCGAATACACCTCCATCTAGCTATCACATCTCGACACTTCTCCAACCAGATATCACAACAAACAATCCTCGTCGCTGCCAAAAACCCTCCTCTCATAGATCAAAACCAAGGCAACAAGATGCCCCCCGGGGCATATCCGAGTTGATGACACAATTGCATTGGTGGGCTCACAAACCAAGCGTGGAGGGTTCGATTCCTAGAAGGCAGCATCTTGGAAGGGAGATTTATCTCGAAGGCAAGGTGTTGGAAGGCAGTGGAGAGGGCCATCTTTGGGGAAGGAGTAAAAGCCATGCAGGAACCTGGGAGCCAATAAGGGCACAAGCCGCGATTAACTTCCTCAATCTAATGAAGGTCGGAGGCTTGAGGTTCAGGATTTAGTCTGGCGAAGCTAGGACACCTGGGTATCAAAAAAACAAAAAAAAAAAAAAAAAAAAAAAAAAAAAAAAAGAAAAAAAAATTTTTCCAAAACCAAAACCAAGGCATCAAGACTCTTTCCAACAACACCTATGCCATTAGCCACCAATCGGTAACATCTACTCCCCCAAGGCGCTCCCATTCATGGTCTTATAATATCAAAACAGGTTCTCAATCACAATCTGCTACCTCAAAAATTGAGCCCTAACTCTTCAAAATTGACAATCCAAAATCTGAAAAAAGATGAATCTAATGAGCCAAGGTTCGATGAAATCTATTCATCCAATTCAAATGGTGCATCAAAACCAAGGTCTCGCGTCAACCACCATGAATTCATCTCAATTTTTCTCCATTGAAACTGAAGAGACAAGTGCGGGTCAGGTGCAGGATCCATTTCTTCAAACCCCATCTTTGGGTTTGGATTATGGGAGACTAGGTGTCATCACAAAACACGTGGCAAAGAGTAATATTGTCAATTTGCTTGAGGGTTGTAAACTTGGCAAACAAACCAAGGACCCATTAGAATTGGAAGTTGTGCGCTTCCCGTCCCCGGCTTTAGCCACACACGTACAAATTACCAGGATTAAAGGCTTTTGTCTCAACAATCAAATCTCAGTGCAAGTTCTTCAGTAGTTTCTCTCTTTCTTGATTTGGAATTCGTCTCTCCACCACACTAGAATGTGGCAAGTATATTATTCAAATGGCTTCAATTTTATGCTTCGGAAAAAAAAAAAAAAGAAAAAAAAAAACAATGGCATGTAGAAGAAACCAAAAATACCAGTATGAAAACAAATGAAACTGCGAAAAGATAAGATGACGATCGAATCGATACTAAGAAGTTCAGGGTACATTGAAACTATAATGTCTGAAATTTTTTGGAAATTGATTGTTGTTTTGGAGTATATTGTAGTATCAATTCAAATCGTTGGGGTTATCGATTTAGAGTATATTGTTGAAAATTGTTTATCGTTTTTGGTGATGGAGGGGGGAGAGAGAGATTTTTTTTATTTCTCGTAATTTATATGAAATTCACTTGCACTTTTTAAAAAGGTTTGGAAGTAGATTGCATTTAGTTCTTTGCTTTTCTTTATTTTTTATTTACAATTGTGTTACATACACAGACCCATTCGCACCTCCCATGTGTGTGCCCTGTACAGGCCTTGTGCAAACAGGTCTATGCAGGGAGCTTTTTTCTTTTATTTAAATATGGAGGTATATTCGTAATTTAATATATTTTTATTGAGAAAATAGATGAAAATGACATTCTCCACAATAAAACGTGAAAATAAGATGAAAATGCAAAAATTTGAAATGTAAGAATATTTTGCATACTAAAATTTAGATATAGAAACGTTTTGGGCTAATAAGTCAACAAATTACCCCTTCCATATAAGCATCGTTCTCTATAATTAAATGGTCATGTGTCATCCTACACTCGCACCCTAATAATTTCTTCTTTAATTAAATAATAAAGTGATTCAACAAATTCAAAGCTAAACAAATTGGATTAATGTCATGTCATATTATTAATTAGTGGGGTCAAAAACTCGGTTTTCCAGCTCCTTAAAGCGCGTCATGATCAAACTTCTGGCATGTGAAATACGAACAGGAAAATAGAGGCTGAGGTCCTCCAACTTATTGTACATTTTGTATTTTGTCTTCAACTTTTAAAACAATGCATTATGTTCCTTGTAGTATGAAAAAAATTGAAAAGTCGGAGACTAGAATGCTAAAAACCGAATGAAAAACACATAACACGAATAATGGGTTGAGTGTCTCTACTGCTGTTTTGTCGGTAATGTGCTTTTACTAAGGATAATAATCCAGGTTATCCAAACGTAAATATAAATCGGTGTTGATATTTTAAGATAGAATCTTAAGACCTACTATAATAAGAGAATTCAAATGGCTAAACTAAACTATTTGCCATGCCTAAAAGATCAATTCAATAGTGTGTTAAGGGTAAAATTATGCATCAACCATTGCTTAAATACGACAACACCATTATGTTTAAGCTCATTTTTGTAAGAAAATGTGTTTTGAAATTGTGATTTATTTTTTTTAAGAATATATAGTTAAAAAATAAGAAGAAAGGTTTCGGTTTACTTATAACATTATTTTTATGGCGCGGATGTATGGTTGAAAATGATTCTTTTAAAAATAAAATGGGACCAAACATAGGCATAATTACTTCAGTTAATAGTTAATTAAGAGCTTATTTAAAGTCAACTAAAATTAATTTTCTAACCTTTATTTCATTATTTCAACCGTCATTTTTGAATTTTTGTGTCACACGTAGAACATACTTTATCTTTAAAGGTCAAAAAATTAATTATCAAAATTCCCTACCAAACAAGCACTAAATATCAAAATTTGAAAAATTGGAAGGTTGTAGACTAGAATGCTCCATTCTAAAATTGAAGATGAAAACGTGAAAGAGTAACACGATGGGGACCTTTACTGCTATTTTTCCGATGTTAATACACACGATTATATTTAAAGTCCAAGGCCTTTCACAAACCTGATCAAATAGAGAAAGGGCGAGGAGGAGAGACAGAAAAAACACCATAATACGAAAATAAGCAGTTTGAAATTATAAGCATGGAAGATTTTGAAATATCCATAGATGATTTAAAATTATGTTCTGCTCCTATATATATCTGCAGAATATGCCATGAACAAGAATTTGAAACCTCCAAAAATTTGGAAACTCCTTGTGCTTGTTCTGGAACTGTCAAGGTAATTTCATTCATTCTTCATATATTTTCTCGCTTATTTTTCAACAAAATCACTTATTTTTGAGTTACTTTGGCTTCTGTGTTTCCAGTTCGCACACAGAGACTGCATACAGAGATGGTGCAATGAAAAGGGAAACACAATTTGTGAAATTTGTTTACAGGTTGGATCAATTTTTTTTATCATGCCTTCTCTTTCTTGATATTTCAGATTTTTCTGTTTCAGGGTTCTTAGCTATTTTTCTAATTCCTAGTATCTTTTGCAATTTATTATTGGAAGAGGTTTGTTTAAGCTAAAAAAATTTAATATGAATAATTTTATTAATTAGAAATGGAAATAGTATCTTTTTTATTTTATTTTTTTACTTAAGAGCATGTTTGGTTAAATTTAAAAAATTACTTTTTTTCTAAAGTAACTTTTTTCTTGTTTATTCAGAAACCTTACGTTCAAGTCAAGCCAAAAATACTTTTTTTTTCTTAGAAACTAAAATATTCCCAATATGGGAATTTTCTACTTAAACAATTTGAATACGCAACTTTCCATTCACTCAATATTTTTCAATTTTTTTACGTCTTCATTAATTACGGGATAATTTTAAATATTTGGACCGGAAAGCGATAGTTTATAACTTTAGTATTGTTATATATATACTTACGAAAATGACACTTTTTGTAACTTTTTATATGGTACAGAAATATGAACCCGGTTACACAGCACCATCCAAAAAGTCCCAGTTACTTGATACAGCACTAATTATTAGGTATTATTATGTATACACTTTCTTCTCTTTTCGTAATTATAATCATAAATTAAGGGTATGTTTGGGAGGGATTTTTTATACTAAAAAAATTGATTTTTTGACCGTTATTTTACTATTTCAGTCGTATTTTTTTACTTCTTCTCTCACAAGTGGACCCACTTTTCTTCTAACGGTCAAAAAATCAATTCTCAAAATCCTTCCCAAACGGGGCCTAAGTCTCGTTTTCAATAAATTGAAGATCAAATATGTTTGCTCAGAGCGTATAATATGTTGGATGAGATTAAGAAAAAGAGAATCGTGAGGTCGTTTGTTTGGTTTCGCGTATAATTCACATTAATGTTTACAGAGGAAGTTCAGAAATTCCAAGAAGAGAAAGAGAAGAAGAAAATGGAGGGGAAGGACAAATGCTTGAAACTGATGACTACTCCGAAGAATGCAGCTCAGCTTCACACACAAGTGGAGCTACTTGCTGGAGATCGGTGGCTCTTATTGTAAGTTTCTTTATGGAAGGAAGCATTTTCATCCGTTGATTTCATCATAGAATCCTAAATTTTAACAGCCGTGCTACATGTCCCAACTCGGAGACTGCCCCAAAAACAGGGGGCTCACCTCAGCCCCCGATTTCAACTTCATTTTTTTTTCCAGATCCAAGGACCAAGATGTTGCCACCTCGGCACCCTGGATTTTGGTTGGTCCCGAATTGGGACAAGTTGCATTTCCCAAATTTTAAATGATATAAATGTGCGAAGTCAACTTTGAAACCAACCGATTTGTCATTTGGTCTGCAGCATGTAATTATGTGGGTATGGCAAATGGACTGCCATTTTTATTTTCACATTGAAATGTCAAAATGGGTTGGCTGATCAGCACTAAAAGCCACAACTTAGGCTCGATCAAGCATATGCCCCATTTTTTCTATCGTTCTTCAAAAATTAAATTTATTTTCAACGACATTCCTACAATAAAATATTTTACAGATAAATTTAAAATTTTTCTTACTTTTTTTATTCATATATTCTTCAAAAATCACTATTTCAAAACTTATTTTTTCCAAAAACTCTCCTTAATGGGGTATCAAACGGACTTTTTTCTTTCTTGTTCTCATAAGTAGTGAATAAGTCTCACCCAAAATTTTGTTGTATACTTTCCTTGTTTTTATCTAATCGAATGGTATAATACTTGGCCCCGTGTTTGGTTCAACTACAAAATAGATTAAAATTTAAATCGAAAGTCAACAATTAATTTTAACCACACATTTCATGAACCCACAACTTTTCAACCATGTATTTTAAAATTGCTTGATGTATCGGGTATGCAGACTAACAACTAAAATTGTACTTGTATAGTTGTCGATGTGGCCCACTATTGGGAGGGGAGTTCTACCGTTGGTCCAGGCTTGGGGACCAACTCAAAAACAGGGTCACCTCAGCCGTTGATTTCAATCCAGGGCTGAGGTTGTTTTTGTCAAATTTCAAACCTAATTGTCATTCATATTTGCAGTTCACATTTCTTCTTCTGATGAGACATTTGTTGGGTGTGCTCGCTGGAGAAACTGCAGATTACCCTTTTTCACTTTTTACAGTAAGTTCCTGATCTTTTACACAAAAATGGTATGCTGCTTTCTGCTTTAAACTGTACTAATATTCTTTTATATGCATACTGTGCAGTTGCTTATTGCTAGGGCTATTGGCATACTTCTTCCAATGTACATACTGCTACAATTGATCAACAAAATTCAAAACAGTTTGAGGCAACATAATCAGGTTATTCTCTTCAATCTCACTTAGCCCTTGTCTGGTCGCGCTTATTCTCCAATTTTCAGCAAGTTTTTGACCGTTACATAGTGCACATAGGTCTCGACCGTTACATAGTGCGCATAGGTCTCATACCAACCGAAATTATTGACTACCTCAGTACCCAACAATTAAAGTGGACAACAAAATGACCTATGTCCCTTTGATATTTCATTCATTCCTCTTAAGAAAGACATTTCTAGTAATTCAAATATAAAGTGAAAAAAATTGTTTGACCTACAACGCTTAGATATGCTAGAAAGTTCGACTAACATGATACAGTATCAAGTTCAAATTTTATGCGTTACCAAATTTACGTTCTAGATTTCACTTTAACCAATTTGACCACATTGAAATGTCAAAATGGGTTGGCTGATCAGCACTAAAAGCCACAACTTAGGCTCGATCAAGCATATGCCCCATTTTTTCTATCGTTCTTCAAAAATTAAATTTATTTTCAACGACATTCCTACAATAAAATATTTTACAGATAAATTTAAAATTTTTCTTACTTTTTTTATTCATATATTCTTCAAAAATCACTATTTCAAAACTTATTTTTTCCAAAAACTCTCCTTAATGGGGTATCAAACGGACTTTTTTCTTTCTTGTTCTTATAAGTAGTGAATAAGTCTCACCCAAAATTTTGTTGTATACTTTCCTTGTTTTTATCTAATCGAATGGTATAATACTTGGCCCCGTGTTTGGTTCAACTACAAAATAGATTAAAATTTAAATCGAAAGTCAACAATTAATTTTAACCACACATTTCATGAACCCACAACTTTTCAACCATGTATTTTAAAATTGCTTGATGTATCGGGTATGCAGACTAACAACTAAAATTGTACTTGTATAGTTGTCGATGTGGCCCACTATTGGGAGGGGAGTTCTACCGTTGGTCCAGGCTTGGGGACCAACTCAAAAACAGGGTCACCTCAGCCGTTGATTTCAATCCAGGGCTGAGGTTGTTTTTGTCAAATTTCAAACCTAATTGTCATTCATATTTGCAGTTCACATTTCTTCTTCTGATGAGACATTTGTTGGGTGTGCTCGCTGGAGAAACTGCAGATTACCCTTTTTCACTTTTTCAAGTT